GGTTAGGCACGAGATTATGTTATACGATGGAGAAGAGATTGGATTCAATTGAATTGGAAAATTCTACGAGTCTTGAAAGTAGCAGTTGTCAATACAGCTTAAACTCTAATCGCAATTATTATTTTTACATTCATAACAAGAACAAGAAATTTGCTTGAGATTTTAATTTTAGTTTTTGATCTTTTGATTTTGTTTCGCACTTGGTCGAGTTTTTCAACTAAGAGAGTTATAGAAGAAATGTTGTGTACGAAAAATCATATGTGATGTATATTGATTTTCCATGTTGACTAAGTTTTGATTGTGTGTTACTTTTTTCAACTCAATTGAATTATAATTTCGATCTTGTTCTTGCTTCGAATGATATGTTTGATGAGTTAAATTGAACAGAATCATCGTTTTATGTGTCTTATGTTCTTGAAATTTCGCAAGTGTACGGATTGTGACAAGTAATAAAGTTGATTTATTAAATTCGAGTATCATCCCACAGAACTACTATTTACTATAAAGTTTTAAAATAATCTAGTTTCAATTTAAATTAAAATGGTAACTAATGATCAACTCAAATTTTGTGTGTTACTTTTTTCAACTTAATTGAAATATAATTTCGATCTTGTTCTCGTTTCAGATGATATATTTTATGAGTTAAATTGAACAGTTATGTATCTTCTTTATAATTTTGTATAGTTTAATAGAAATAATTAATTGATAATTATATCGCGAAATGCAACTAAATATAGAAAGTTGAGTTCGAATAAGTGTCAATAGTTTACAAGTTATCGAGATCAACTCAACGAGTTAATGAAGGGTAAGAATAGATTCTATTCAATTTAATGGGTAAATTGGAAACATAATCAATGATTTTTCTTGTTAGAAATTCATTTTTAAAAAATCATTAAAATATCAAAACTAATTTCATAAATTTAATTTGATGACGACAGCAATGACTTATTCTGTCAACTAATTTTCCAGAATATACTCATACTCGATTTTTCTAGGTTGCAAAGAACCATGTAGGCCATGGGTCCACTGTCCACCCCTTCAATTCCATGTTTGGCAGTGTTAAAAGGTACAATTTAATCAATACACGTAGAGGTTTGAGTTACTTTTTTTGAGAATGTTGAACTTTAAAAATGGTTCGGTCCGATTTTGATGCACATTTAGGTACCAAATAGACCTGATGCATTCTTCGATTACAATTTTTTCAAGACCTTCAGAAAAAGCAAGAAATAAAGGCTCGAATGGTACAATCCATCTGTTACTCAAGAGTGAAAGGGGTGATTTCTTGATATAGTAAGTAGTATCATAGCTCATTTAGTTCAAAACGATTAATTCGATTTGACTGATACTCAAACGAACACTTGAATTTTAAGATTGACATTCTTAAACGATCCACCACATTGCAAATGCATGTTAAGGGAAAAATCTCGCGTGGAAAGCACGTTAAAAGTAACTTATAAGTTTTTTTTTAGCTTAGCCAAACGTGGACTAACTCCAACCGCCCTATTCTTTCTTATATATCTAGCCATTTCTTACATCCTATTACTTAGAATCCCTCGAAAATAATTCTTGAAACCAGTCCTAAACACACACTACACACACATTTGGTGGCATTGAAGTTTTCTTGTTAGAAACAAGAAAATGGGTGGCGATGAATTGATTTTGTTAAATTACTGGGCAAGCATGTTTGGAGCCAGGGTTAAAATTGCACTGGAAGAGAAGGGACTTAATTATGAGTACAGGGAAGAAGATTTGCCAAACAAATCTCCACTGCTCCTGCAAATGAACCCGGTTCACAAGAAAATTCCAGTCTTGATTCACAATGGAAAACCAATATGTGAATCAAATATTATAGTTCAATACATTGATGAGTTTTGGAATGATAAAGCTCCACTTCTGCCTTCTGATCCTTACGAAAGAGCTCAAGCAAGGTTTTGGGCTGATTACATTGACAAAAAGGTATGTACTATGTACTTACTTTATCCTTATTGTATTTAAGAATTACTCTTAATTAATCTTGAAAAGAATGGCTACTCATATCATATTAAGTCCTGTTTGCCCCATTTTTAAAACTCATTTTTCTTACCAAAATCTATTGAAAATATGATTTGTAGCTAAACCAAACAGAGGTTTATCCTTAAACTTTGAGTTACAATTGTGGGATTTTGCAATTGCAGTTATATAATTCTGGAGGGAAGATAACATGGTGTAAGAACAAAGAAGAGGCAGAAGAGGGCAAGAAAGAAGTGCTAGAAATCTTCAAAGTGTTAGAAGGAGCATTGGGAGACAAGCCTTATTTTGGAGGTGAAA